CCATGTTGACTTGGATCAGGAAGACGATGATGTCGCATCCATGTCGACTAAGATTTCGAATGGCACGAAGAAAGCCAGATTGCCAATGCATATGCCTTGCTTCGGCTCACAGCTACAAAAACACTTTGCGGAAGGAAGCGCGCGCAATGCTGACAATGTCATCAACAAACACAGATTGCAGATTGGCGCGCGCATTGGCAAAGCGTCCAGAGTGCAAAAAGAACAAGGCCTTGCGAGCGCACAACTGAACCAGGAACTGCTTGGGGGCGTATCAGAGCAAGTACTCACTGATCAGACACTCAACCATCTGAATGAGCTTACCATGACGGTCTTCTAAATTCAAAAGCCAATCAAGCCATCATTGAATGGAGTCCAAGATTATTCGATGGGTGAGTGAGCAAAAACAGCACGTATGTGAAAAGCCAAGCAAGCCATCTTTGAATGGAGTCCAAGATTGGTCGATGGGTGAGTGAGCAAAAACAACACGTATGTCCTGCCAAAGGCGCAGGGTGAAAAGGTGCTCAGGCCATGCAACGACAAGCAAATACTTGAGGACGCCGGATGCAGCTTCAAGCAATCTGCCCAGAATAGTGCCTCGGTATGCAACCATGGTCCCCCCGACAGAATATTGCTTCTTTGCATTTTCACCTCACGAATAGGCCTGATTGCCACTGCATGTGCTTGCTTCTGACTGTAGCAACGGTTCACAGCTACAAAACATCCTGCGCGGAAGGAAGCACGCGCAATGCTGACGATGTCATCGACACAGAGAGAACGCAGGTTGGCGCACGCACAATGGGCAGAGCGTTCAGTGCGTAAGAACAAGGCCTTGCGAGCACACAACTGAACTGAACCATGAACTGCTTGGTAGCATGTCGGAGCAAGTACTCACTGATCAGACACTCCACCATCTGAATGAGCCTACCCTGGGGGTCTGCGTTGAAAAGCCAGTCAAGTCGTCAGAGAGAGGAGTCCAAGATGGGTCGATGGGTGAGCGAGCAAGCCCAGAATGCATGCGCTGCCAAAAAAGAGCGGGATGGCACATGATTGAGGCCACGCAACGACAAGCAAATGCTTGGGGACATCGGATGCGGCTTCAAGCAATCTGCCCAGAAAAGTGCCTCGGCATGCGATAATAGGCCTCCCTTTTTGCCTCTAAGCCACACATGAAAACAGCAATTGCTCAAACCCATTTGGACATTGATGATGAAGACGATGATGTCGCATCCATCTCGACTAAGATTTCGAATGGAACAAATACAGCCTGATTGCTCATGCGCGCGCCTCGCTTCTGAACTACAACATGAGATTCGCCAGAAAGCTGTGAATCGATCAGCAAAGCAGTTTGCATTCTGCACATGATTGAACTGGGTCAGGCATGAAAGGGCATGTATGCAACTGAACAAGTGAAGCTCAAGCATTGTGGGCCTCTTCAAGGCCAAATAATCTTGTTACCGACTGTGGCGTCGGCTTGCCATCTGCACGCAGATTGGCTAAGTCCTTCCTTTCTGATCTCGGGGGAAGTGCCTACCATCATTCTCTCCGGCAAGAGGGAGGTTCAGCACATTCCGAAGAGAGGGAGGGAAAAGAAGAAAGGCTCATTCTCTTGTCGGCTCACTCCTGCTAAGCGTCCTTAGAGGTAAAAACTAGGCGGCCGTAGCCAGGCTTTGCCAGGGCAAACCTGGAGGAATCTGAGTCGCCCTGCGGTTTACCCCGGCAGGTTCGGGTTTTTCCGGTACTGGCCCGGTGAAGTCTCATGCCCCTTGGCTTTGGGGATCACAGCCGGCGCTTTGCCAGAAATACCGACCGGTACACACTTGCTCCCCGACCTCTCCGAGAGAGGTGGTTGAGTCCCTCGGAAGGCCTCATTGTTAATGTAGAATCTCCAAATCAGTAATCTCAGGCAATTCTCCTGCGATTGGGCTCACCGGCAACCGAAAGTAACCTTTTTGACACACCGAGAGAACCTTAGAGCCTGAGCCCCACAGGGTTGGAAGAGGGTTCCGAGGGCAGCCGCGTCATGAATCGGCGGAGGGAGTTTCGTCGGCCCTCTGGGTTCACATGGCAGGCTACTCGTCAGGTGCCACCTGACCTGCCGTGCTCCCAGATTGCTGCGGTGGCACGGCTCCCAAACATGTAAAGTGCAACTGCGCAAGCCCAATTCCCGCCAACTTCTACATCCCTTGCAGCCGAACACTCGACACACCCTCCTTCTGGTTGAAGTGAATCCGCAAGAATCCACAGCTTAAAGGCCTGCTGGCTTACATATTTGATGGCGGCTCCTGTCGAGGCGTACCATGCCACACCATTCAACCAAGCCGTGGGATGTAATTACAGCCCAAAACCCGTGGAAACCGGGGTGGGCACACACACGCCCATCCAACCACCAAACACACACACACACACACACACACACACAGAGACAGACACAGACACAGACACAGACACAGACACAGACACAGACACAGACACAGACACAGACACAGACACAGACACAGACACAGACACAGACACAGACACAGACACAGACACAGACCACAGACACAGACACAGACACAGACACAGACACAGACACAGACACAGACACAGACACAGACACAGACACAGACACAGACACAGACACAGACACAGACACAGACACAGACACAGACACAGACACAGACACAGACACAGACACAGACACAGACACAGACACAGACACAGACACAGCACAGACACAGACACAGACACAGACACAGACACAGACACAGACACAGACACAGACACAGACACAGACACAGACACAGACACAGACACAGACACAGACACAGACACAGACACAGACACAGACACAGACACAGACACAGACACAGACACAGACACAGACACACACACACACACACACACACACACACACACACACACACACACACACACACACACACACACACACACACACACACACACACGCCACGCACGCACGCACGCACCGCACGCACGCACGCACGCACGCACGCACGCACGCACGCACGCACGCACCCACCCACCCACGCACGCACGCACGCACGCACGCACGCACGCCACGCACGCACGCACGCACGCACGCACGCACGCACGCACGCACGCACGCACGCACGCACGCACGCACGCACGCACGCACGCACGCACGCACGCACGCACGCACGCACGCACGCACGCACGCACGCACGCACGCACGCACGCACGCACGCACGCACGCACGCACGCACGCACGCGCGCGCTGCGCGCGCGCGCGCGCGCGGCGCGCGGCGCCGCGCGCGCGCCGGGGCGCCCGCGCACCGCGCACCGCGCACCGCGCACCGCGCACCGCGCACCGCGGTGCGCGCACCGCGGTGCGCGCGTGCACGCGCGCACACGCGCACACGCACACACGCGCACACGAACACACGCACACACGCACACACCCACACACGCGCGCACACCCACACACCCACACACCCACACACCCACGCACCCACGCACCCACGCACCCACGCACCCACGCACCCACGCACACACGCACACACACACACAAACACACACACACACACACGCAAACACACACACACAGACACACACACAGACAGACCACAGAAGCGAGATGCTGCGAAGGGAGTCTCACCAGAAACTGGGTTGAAGGTTTGCAGCCTACTGCGTTCGATCCTTACAAGCCTGCAGGATTGAAGCTGCCTTATTCCTTTCGGAAGAGGCGGCCCCTGTCAGAGCTTCTTGGTAGGATTGTTTGGCAACTTTTCTTGGAGTTGGCCCTGTTCCGTCGGGTAGGTGCTGCATAGGCCCTGGCATGGGCATGGCGTGGGCAACGGAAAATCCTTCTGATGTGACGGTTGGCCCATGGGACTTGCCAAAGTAGCGCCCCGGATTTACGTCAGCTCAGGCTGGAAGCGCCGTACGCACAGGGAGGCCCATGGTCACGCAGGCAGTTTCGTGGAACAACTTGCTAGTGTACGCGCACGAAGGCAAACAGTGCATTGTCAGGTGGAGCGTATGCGGGCGCTGTGGCGGCGCAGGCCTGGCGTAGGCCCTGCGTAGGCAGCCCCTTTAGCACCAAAGCTTTTGAACAAATAAAGCGCTGCTCAATTGTAACCAAAGCATTCCCAATAGCCGCTAGGCGAGCCGAAATAGCTCCAAACGGGGCCCAACACACACCCCGAATCCTTTGCCCACGGGCTCAAACGCTAGCTTTGGAGTCCATACCTTTAGATTCCACAATAACCGCCAGCGGAGATGAAACAGCCTTGACAGGTTGGTCCCAGCAGTTGGAAACGCCATCCAGACAGGCCGAAACAGCCCAGCAAGCATGCAACCCTGCAGTTCCAAAACGGCGCCTGCTTTGGTCCCAAATAGCCTCCGAATTCCACGCCCACAGTCTCAAACACAACTTTGCAAGTTCACACAGCCACACAACACCTAGTCAGCCTTCGAATGTCATACCCACAGTGGGCTCCAGAAAGCAAACAATCAATACCCGGTCCCCAACAGCCTCTCAATCGGCCGAACCAGCCAAACAACACTTAGTACTTGCGCCTGCAATGCCAAAGGCAACCTAACTTCGCCACCTTTGGATTCCCAATGTACCCGGCCCCCAGCAGCATCCAGACAGGCCGAAACAGCCCAAAAAGCTTGTGCCCCTCCATTGTCAATCTTAACTTAATTTGGTTCCGAGTCCGGTGCCGAGGATCTCAAACGCCAAAACCCAAAAAGCAGGTGGCCAGGTAGTGCCCAACACAGCCTGCTATGGGTCCCAAAAACGCTCCCTAATACCGTGCCCGAGGTCTCAAACGCCACCTTTGGATTTAACATACAAAGGCGATCAAAGCCCGGTCCCCTAACTGCCTTCTGACGAGCATCCAGACAAGCCGGAACATATTTGGTCCCCAGAAGCATCCAGACCAGCCCAAACATGAATCCCCTGCCGGGGGCGCTAACACTAAGCCCAGGCGCCCTCCTTCGCAGAGGGCGCACTTCCTTGGCGCTCTCGCCAGGTGGGATGTCAGAGCGTGTACGCCACCTCTGACTTCGTGAGCCGCGACGAGTGGGCCGTGGTGTCCAACTCGCAGATTCGAGACCTCGTCTTGAAGGGCTTCGAAAGCCGTGGACGGCCACTGCCCTATTGGCAATGGCCACGCTGGGCTGCTCGTGGCAATTTTAATTCAGTTTCTCAGGTGCGCTACTGACTGGGGCAGCTCTTGCGGTCTCAGTTTCCAGCCAATTGTTCCTAACCACTGGAGGGGAATCCGGATTCACTAGCTGCGTGTGCGAAAGCACCACTGTTTCAGCAAAGACCAGACCGCCGTTTGCTCATCATTGCAAAGTGTAGCCAAGTAGTCAAGGTTCATTCGCTGGCCAACGCCGTCAACGTGGACTACATTGCCATCGACCGGGTCACTGAAGGGGCGGCAGGGCGGACCGATCCTGCGCCGCCTGGAGTGAGGGTAAACTCGGCGGGGCGTCCAGTTCACTCTGATGGGAGATTCATGTCGTACTCAGAGGCGCGTCAGCTTGGCTGGGGGCAAGCACCCCCACCAAGCCCGAACCCTTGGAACGAGCACCAGAAGCGCATGGGTGGCCAAGGGTACTCTCAAGCCCAGATCAGGCAGGCTTACACTTTTGGCTCTTCGCAAGGTTCCCTTGGCTCAATCGCCCGCCAGACCAACCCTTGGAACGAGCACCAGAAGCGCATGGGTGGCCAAGGGTACTCTCAAGCAGACATCCTTGCTGCCTACCGGCCCACCTCAGCTTCCAGCCTGGGCGGAGGCGGTGGTTCTTCAGGCGGCTTGGGTTGGAACAAGTTCCGCACATCCATGGCGGGGCAGGGCTTGTCCAGGTCAGAGATGAGTGCCGCCTACTGGGCTTAGAAGTGAGAATGGCTCAGACCCCTTTCCGCAGGGCAGTTTTAACCCAAGTGGCTGGGGCTGCCGCGCGACTGGACTGTGGCCATGAGCCGTAATCTACTCGTGCGCAGAAAATGTACAGTACGGACAGTTGCAGTTCCGGGCACTTGGTGGGTTGGAGGCGTCTCCAACTCCTAAATGTGTGAGTATTTTTTTGGAGACGAGGTTCGATGTGTGCTGCTGACTGTGTCAGCTTATGCCGCGGCGACAGCTGACGGCTTCTTGAAATTTGCTGGGGTGCTGAGCCACAGCTTGTCAAAAGGTGTAGAAGCCGATGGGAATACCGGGAGAATCATGCGCCAAACACCATGATCACCCTCATGACAAAAGGTAGCTCTAGGGCTAGGTCACAAACAAATTGAGCTAGACCAGGTCACGTTGGACAATATTCGGGCTGCAAAAGCGTAAGCAACGCTACCGTACCTATGTGGCTGAGATTACACTAGGCGCCTGACACAAATTTGCTGCTGCTGCATCCCATTCTTGAGCAGCTGCACCATGATCGTTTTCAACCACAAGACACCTAGAACCCAGGACCAAAACTGGTGAAAAGCTGGCTTCGGATCTTTTTCCCCTTAGCTTGGGATCTATCCCTCCGCTGTCAGCACGAGTGTGCGAAGATCAGGTGGCCAGAGTCAGCCCTGCGCAGCGCAGACCTCTCAAGGCGGGGGGCTCGCAAGTTTCAGGGCAATCCGAGAGAAGTCCCTGAGCCTCAAAGCGGACGAAGCGCAGCTCACTCGTTGGGAAAGGATCATGGCTTGAGGGCGGAGGGTTGCGATTGCATTTGGGGCTCTTTGTCGTATCAGCCCCTTTACTGCTGATGCAATCACACTAACTTGGGCGCATTTCGCGGTCCCCTTGTTTCACATGTACCGCTGATGCTGTCACACCAACTACCGGCAAAGACAGTTGTATGCGTGTGTGAAGCCGTTTTTGACAAGGAAAAGTAGAGCGACCTGAGAAAGGTTCCCATAGGTTATGAGCCCAACTGCGGCCTCTTAGAAAGGCCATGGAGGAGCCACATTCGGCGCCGGGCTCCGTGGAACCCCTGGAGGACGAAGGGGGCCTGGAGCTGATCGGGCAGGAGGTGGCGGTGATCACGGGCAAGGGCACAGGGGCTTCTGGAAGGTCAGCAGCTGGGCGTGTTCGCGATGAGGGAACGCCAAGAAGAGGACTGGCGACGAGCTCGGGTGGAGGTGCGATAGGCTCACCGATGTGGGTGGGCGGGCCGGTGGAGAACCCGAGGACCCTGGGGCCGCTGTTTAGCCCGGAGCAGATGAGCCGACTCAAAGAATGGGAAAGGGAGGCCCCGCTGATTCATGGCACCCCGATGGACCAAAGGAGGCCGGAGCATCTGCCGCTTCTGGACGCTGGGCAAGAGACCAACGAGGACATGGCGGTAACCATCACGGAGCTCCAGAAGCAGAACAAAATGTTGATGGAGGAGTTGGGCCGCATCAAGAACTATGTCAAAGAGGAGCGCTACGGGACGCCGGAGAGCCAGGTCAAGCCCGAGGTTCAGAAGGTGCCCAACGGGACCAGCAACAAGCGGGACAACCTGAACGAAACGGTTGGCGACGATGAGAGTGTGAAGAATGAAGATGAGGAGTCCTCGGAGCTGAGGCCGGCAAGCGAGAGCGGTTCCGGGAAGGAGAACTCCAGGCTGGATGTCATGCTGAAGCTGATGGAAGGGATGCAGGAGCTTCAGAAGCACATCCTGGACAAGGGCAATCGAGAGAATGAGAATGCGGAGGTGGTACGACAAGGAGTACATGATCTTCCGCTACTACCAGAGCCAGCCTCGGAAAGTTGGTGACTGGTTGATGATGGTGGAACCCATGATGGCCGACTTGTCGGACACCTCGGGCGACTGGTGGGTGCTGATGGTTGAAGAAAGCAGGAAATGGTACCGGAAGTACATGGCAGAGGATCCCATCAAGAGAGCCGAGACGTCCACCGAGAAGCCGGAGGCGCTGGATCAAAAAAAGTGGGGAAGGTTGGAGAAGCGAGCGATGGCGATGATGGTCAAGGCGGTGCCGGAGTCGATCCGGGATGAGCTCATGGCCATGAGGGCATTGACGGCCTTCGGGACATTGTGTCGGTTGCAGGCGCTGTACCAGCCGGGAGGCAACGCGGAAAAGGCCCTGGTGTTGAGGAATTTGGAAGACCCCCCAGAGGCTACTACAGCAGGCGAGTTGGTGAAAAGTCTGCGGAGGTGGCTGCGGTGGCGGAGAAGAGCGGAAGAGGTCGATTTGGCCATACCTGATCCGACGGTGTTGGTCAAAGGGATCAACAAGATGTTGAGGAGGGTGTTGGAGAGCAATCGGGAGCTGCTCTTCCGGATCTCCCTTGCCAGGCCCACGATGCAGATTGATTCCAACCCGGATCAATCTGTGGTGAAACAGTTCGCGGAGCACCTCTTGGCGGAGGTGGAGCAGATGACCTTCGTGTTAGAAAAGAAGAACGTGAAGGGGCAAGCGACTGCAGAGCCGAAGGTGAAGAAGCTAGGAGAAGCGGAGGTGGAGACAAAGCCGTGGAAAAGCTATGAGAAAAAGGAGCGCCCTTGTCGGTTCTTCCTGACGGATGGTGGTTGCCGCAAGGGCAAGAGCTGCGAGTGGTCCCATGTCATGGAGGAGGTCGGTGCTGGGAGTGTGGCGCCACGGATCATCGTCGGCGAGAATGCCCAAGAAAGACTAGGGTGAATGGCAGCACCGAGAAGGTGACCCCAAAGATCAACAAGGCGGAGGTGGACGAGAAAGAGGGGTCGCCTGGGAAAGAGAAGAGGGCGGAGGAGACGCAGAACAATGGAGAAAAGAGTGCAAAGGAGGACGGGGACACGCTGAAGGGCATCCTGCACGAGGCCAACGTGATGCTCAAGTCCATCAATGGCGGGAAAGAGACAAAGGGTAGCCAAGAGCGAGAGAAGAGACTGGAGGAGTTGCAAAAGCAGCTGGACGACTTGAAGGTTCGGGCCGTGAAGGTCACCAAGATCAGCTGCAAAGGAGGCGGTTTGCTGGATTCGGGGGCTACTCACGCCATGAGGCAGGCGAGCAAGAAGGAAGACCGGAGTCGATTGGAGAAGACGGTGGTGACCATGGCGGATGGTGGGAAGAGAGAGATGTACATCACCCCGGGGAAGATCCTGGTGTGCACGGAGAAGGTGGATCCGATCCTGCCGTTGGGAGGATTGGTGGAGAAGTTGGGTTGCGGGTAGAATGGCAAGGATCTTGCTGTCAGCTATGGCATCCTGTGAAAGGAAGGATAGCGGTGGAAATGGTCGACGGGTGCCCGGAGGTGTCAAGAAGGGAAGCGGAGGAGCTGATTGAGGAGATAGAAGAAAAGGTGTCTGCGAGAAAGGTGTGGGACATCGGAGCTAAAGGGGCCGTGCCGACGGAGAAGGAGAAAAAGGTGCAGTGCCAGGTGGAGAAGGAATGGATGAGGAGCCTCATTGAGAACCACGAGGTCTTCAAGGAGGTCCCAGAGGAGATAAAGGAAAGGGTGTTGGAGTTGCCGGCGACCGACTGGTCGAGCCTGCCCTGGAACCGGAGGAGGAGAAGACAGCAAGAAGGTGACTTTACACCTCTATGCAGGCCCAGATGAGGGTTACACCTTCCGGCGAGCGTTCAAAGAGGTGGGAGGAGATGCCAGGAACATCATGGAGGTGGATATCCTTCGGGGGCCAAGAGAAGACATGGTGGAGGGCGGCTTGTACGCCGGACTGCTGAGGCTGTGCTTTGACGGGAATGGTGATGGGTGGACCGAATTGCCGGACAAGAAGTGTGCTGCGGCATTACCCAATACCTTCCTGGAGGTGGACCACGCCCCCTGCGAGGAATGGCCCGTGAAGAGCAGTTCGGGTTTGAGTACCTGGAACCATGGGAAAGGAAGCAGGTCTTCGAGGACGACGTGATGATGTGGCGGATGATCATGTTGTTCCTGGTTGCCGACGAGGTGGCCGAGAGGAGAAGAGAAGAGCAGGTGGGATTTCTGGTTGAGCAACCAGCTGACCCGAGCCACTATCAGCCGGAGTGCGTCTCATGGTGGAGGACGCCGCAATGGCAAGCGCTGAGGGAGGACAAGGGGCTGCTGGAGGTGACGTTCAATCAGGGAGACTATGGCGGTGTGGCGGTCAAGCCTACTACGCTGGGGACTAACCTGGTGGTGCAGCTTCCGCAGGAGAAGGTCGAAGGCCTTGGGACGCGGGGTACGGCAACAGCGGTGGACTTCAAGGAGACAAAGAATATGGCCCGGTGGGTACCGGGACTGATGAGGGAGATAGCGACAGATGTGCTGGAGCAGATCTACAAGGAGAAGGCAGAGGTGAAGCGTCTTAGTTGGGGAGAGCACGTCGCCAATGGCCATGTGCCATTCCGAAAGGACTGCCGAGACTGTCAGTTAGCCTCTGCAAAGGACCGCCCCCACAGGCGCATCAAGCATCCGCAGGCATATGTATTAAGCTTGGATGTGGCGGGTCCCATGAAGCGTGGATGGGACATCGACGGCAAAGCAAGTACTTGCTCGTGGGCGCGTACACATGGCCAAAGCCGGGGCAGCCAGGAGTGGAGGAGGAGGAAGATAAGGAAGAAGGAAGAAAGGCAGGAGAAGCAAAAGAAGATCAGGAGGCTGATAAAGAGGAGGAGATCCCCAAGATGGAGGACTACTGGACAATGAGCAGCGATGGAAGTGCAGTCATTCGAGTGCACAAACACCATCGGAAGGTGAGGTTCTTTCCTGGAGACGCAGAAGGCTGTCCTGTACCCGTAGACAAGCTGGAATCGGTGCGGAGGACGGTGGCTCGGAAAACCAAAGGAGGCGCCTACACCGTGCACGAGGACGGCTGGAAAAGTGCGAGAAAGGAGGACCAGTTGTTCGAAGACGGATCGAGGTGGGCGGGTCGGACGATCTTCAAGGTGGAAGGAGTAGAGCCGGAGAAAAGGATGGAAGAAGGTGACCATGAACTACCAGCGGGAGAAGAACCACTACCGGAGGGGGATTGGGACTTCGAGCTGGAGGATGTGGGAGGTGAGCTTCGAGAAGCAGGAGATGACCCAGCACCGGAGGAGGGTCAGGAGTTGGAAGATGAGGGTCCGGAAGGACTAGAGGTGGAGACGCACTGGATGGCTCTGCCGATGCCGACGAAGAGCATTCCCTCGGTCATGGAAGCCGTGCAGGAGATGTACTTGGCATTACGGGCAGACGGTTATCCGGTGGCAAGGATGCACACGGACAAGGGCCGCGAGTTCCAGAATCACACCTT